TCTCACTCGGTTTTATTCCTTTGACCATATAAAGTTGATTTTGAATATTTGTTATAACGTTATATTGATTTTGATTTAATATTTTTGACTTTGATATTTTTGATTTATACTTTTTGATTTTTATATTTTTGATTTTTATATCTTTATAATATTAGTTTTATTTGAATTATTATTTTTGATTTATACTTTTTAGTATTAATATTTTATACTTTAGTTTAGTTTTTTTTTGATTAATAGTGATTTTACTTATTAATCGTAATAAATCTTTTGATTTATTTTATTCTTTTCTTTATATTTTTACCTCTTTTTTGAATTACTTTTGTAATTTAGATTTTTGAACACACAATATTCATAGATATTGGCATAGATCTTAGAAATCTTTGCTAATATTTATAATTCATTCTCTTTACTTAAGTTTAATCATTCCTCTCCCAACATTATATGCTTATAGTGATTCTTAGTGAAACCCACTATTCAGAATCACTGTAACAGTAACAAAATCAGCTTTTTGCACTTCAACCAGATAGATTGCTAGCTTTTCGAATAAAGACTCTATATGTATATAATATATAAAAAAAGTTTAGCTTTTGAATAAAGACTCTGAATGAATATAATTTTTAAGAAGTTTTAGCTTTTGAATATTTTTTTTTAAATCTTTTGATAAATCCCTTTAGGAAATTCGAGCTACAAGCAGCTTTATACTCAACTTTCCTGAAGAAATACCAACAGTACTTTATATTTAGTGAGCTTTTATTTTTATACGTGTAGCAGCTCCCATTTATCGATACAATTTGTGTTTTTAGAAAGATTTAGAAGCTGCTTGCTGCACTTGTTTGGAGTCATCTTCAATTAGAGTGAAAGCAAAATTAACTGCTTCTGACTTCCCAGAAGGGATCCTGCAAGGCTTGCTTTAGCATATATCCTCTTCCCTCTTATATACACAATTATTAATACAGCCTGTTTGTGTTTTTAGAAAGATTCAGATGCTACTTGCTGTACTTGTTTGGAGTTATCTTTGGTCAGAGTGAAAGTATAATTAAATACTTCTGACTTTTCAGAAGGGATCCTGCAAGACTTGTTTTAGCATACACCCTTACCTTTCTTATATATACAGCTATCGATACAGTGTGATTTTGCTTTGTTGAGTAGTGTGGCACCTTTTTAAGTTAGAAAGAGTATTTGCTTTGCTTTATTTATTCAACTTTTTAAAAAAAATATATTATATATATATATAGCAAGCAAAAAATTCATACTTTCTAAAAACACAAATCCTAATCCAAAACAAACTCTCAACCAGTTTCACAACTCCAAAAAGCAGTCTACCTTGCTCCTTTACTGTTGCTATTGCTATTTCAGATATTGCTTTTGCTGCTGCTTTATTTCTTCTTCTTTTTTTTGAACCAAAAAATGCATTAAAAAAAAATCAACAAGATAAATTTATATATACAAACAGTATCTCTATTATCTCTCAAAGCATTCTTGCTATCTGCTATTTGATATAACTATACATCCAGTAAAATGTGATTAATTGTTAGAAATTACAAAAAAGAATTGTCAAAGCTAAAAAATTTTGTTTTCTTAATTTTACAAATTTGCTTGCCTGATCTTTTTGAGTCTGACATTTTTGAGTGTGAGTGTGAGTAAAGATGATACGGCAACTGTTGCAACATGGTGACAAATAAAGCATCACCTAGTTGCAACTAGTTGCGGCTTATAAAATTTTGAAGTTGCAATGTGTTGTAACAGGTGACAAATAAGCATCACATACTTGCTGTGCCATCTCTAAGTGAGAATGTGTGTATGAGTATAAGTGTGAGAGTGAGTGTGTGTGTGAGTGTGTGAGTGTGTGTATGAGTGTATATGTATATCAAGTATAGTAAAAATGAAGCTGTAAGTGGAAGCAAAAAAGCAAATTTTATACTATAAAAGAATCGACAAATAAAAAGTCACAGAAAAATTATGTGATCATATGATCTGCATAATTTAATTATATATGTAATAAGTATAAAGTATAATAATAATGAGTATTAATAATGATAAGTATTAATGGTGATGAAGGACATTAATAACAGATGCTGATGATAGGTATTGGTAATAAAGATGACGTAGCAAGTATGTGATGCTTATTTGTTATCTGTTGCAACACGTTGCAACTTCAAAATTTTATAAGCCGCAACTAGTTGCAATTAGGTGATGCTTTATTTGTCACCACGTTGCAACATTTGATGCGTCATCTTTAATTGATAACAAGTATTGTTGATGGGTATTGTTTTAAGAAGTTATTATCATTTAGAATATTAGTTTATTAAACAATATGCAGATAATGCATTTTATTATAATAGTTATATCTTAATAAATTCAATTATATTATCAAATAATATTTTTGGATTTTTAAAGTATTGTTTTTAATAGAACAATATCTTGATACACCTCTAATCTGTTATTATATCCAGTACTTATTGTACCAGCTATTTTGGATTTATATTATCATATACTAATTATTTTTGGATTTTTGTCAATATTACTGAATACTAATATTTTTGAATTTTTAAAGTATTGTTTTTGATAGAACAATAACTTATTACAACAATATTTCTAATCTGTTATTGTATCCAGCACTTATTGTATCAGCTATTTTGAATTTATGTTATTATATACTAACTATTTTGGATTTTTAAACAATGTTTGATCATTATCTTACAAATAGTTACTTTTTTTAAAATATTCATTATTTTTTTATTAACAAATTTTGTTTTTGGAAAAAGGAGTTATTTGAAATAATAAGTATTTGCTTTTATATTTTATATATTTGCTTATTATTTTTGTTGCTATTTTTTGGAGAAAAGATATAATTTCTTGATATTTTTTATTGTGTATTGCTTTTTTGGAATAATTAATTCTTCTATTATATATATATTCTTTTTCAATATCAAGTTTTTTTGGTTTCAGTTTTTTCTTATATAACTTACTATATATTAAAAATAATGTATATCTATATTTATATTATGAATTCCAAATATTTATCTATATTCAATTTTGAAAATACTATAATTCTGATTCTTTATATGATAACTCTGAATCTGTCAGTAATATTTCTAGTTTACAAACATCTAGCACAGATACCTTTATGAAATGCAAGTTAGTAAATGAAATTTGAAACTATTTTAAAAAAGTACAATAGGATAAAGAAGAAGAAAAAACTGCCAAATGCAAACTATTAAAATGTGAGCACAAAGTTTTTTTATTAGAAATTATAGGTACGACTAAACCTTTATAATATCATTTGGAAAGTGCATATCATCAGATATATATTAAAACAGAAGAATGTCAAAGAAAAAACAAAAAATCTTAGCATTGAATCAAAGCATTAAAGAAATAATTGATGTAAGTTTATATATTTATATTTATAAATATATGTTTAATAAATAACAATATTTTTTATATTATATAATATAAAAAATACTTTAAAATCACTTTTAAAGCAATATTTTTAATATGTTGTAAATAATACTTGAATTATATTTTTTAAATAATACTTTTATTAAAAGTCATTATCATTCAGTATAAAAAATATGAAATTAAGCAAATCTATTAATAATAAAAAATTACATGATATGATTTCTATGTGGTTAATTAATTATTAATATCCATTATTAATCACAAAAGATCCTTAATTAATCAAAATCTTCGAATACTTGAATCCCTCTGCAAAATTACTTGCTGCTGATACAATCCAAAATATAATAATGTATTTATATAATAAAGAAAAAAATGAAATTAAGATATATTTTATTAATATTTTAAGACATTTATAAGCAAAACTCATTATTTTATTTAGTTGTATCTTGCAGCTACTGAATCAAAAATTTTATTCACTCTTGATCTATGAACATTTCCTAACAACAAGACCTTTATTTCAGTAATGGCACATTATATTAATGATAATTGGGAAATGCAAGAGTTAGTAATCAACTTTGCTTCTTTAAAAGACAAGCATGAAGATACAAATATAGTTGAAGATTTTTACGATATATTATATAGTTTTTAAGATAAATAATTTATCTTTTATATTTGATATTTATCTTTTATATTTGATATTTATCTTTTACTGGATAATGCCTCAAATAACAATACATTTGTATGAGAACTAGCAATAAAACTTCAAGATTTATATGTAAGATGAAACTTAAATCTCTTATGATTTCATTGTTTTTTGCATATTTTAAATTTAGCTGTCCAAGTAATCCTATTTGAAGTGAAGAAGAAGTTGGTAAGATAATAACTCTCATTTACTGTATTACCTGCTATATTATTTAACTATATATATTAATAACTTTAAAGCTCAGAGAACTATATGCTGCAATCTGTTTCTCATCACAATGATTTGAATTACTCAAAAATTCATGTCAAACTTGCAATATAAAATCTTTAAAACCAATTCTTGATTGTTCTACTCACTGGAACTCCTCCTTTGATATGATAAAAAATGGTTTATATTTGAAATCGGTAAGTTTTAGATTTGTTGCATCAAGAATTTTTTAAATTAAAATACTTTTTGTGAAATGTTGATAACTAATTAGAATTGATTAGAATTGTTTAGAATTATTAGAATTGTTTATAATTTATAACCTGTAATACAATAACTAATTATAGTTATTAACTGATTATAATTAATTTGAATTGTATACTGTTTAGATAATTTCAATTAATTCAGTCAAATCTGACTAATTCTTAATGATTATTAATATCTCTGTGAAGAGAATTAATTATATTTAATTTAAAAATTTTGAAACATCTTGTTTTTATTTTAAAAAATTAACTATATCTATATTAATATTATAATTTTATAGGCTCTAAATTCATTAATCTGTTTGCATAATGAATTTTATCAGTATGTGATTTCCTCTTTGCAATGAATATTTTTAGAACAGATAGTCCAATTTCTTGAACCATTCAAGGATTTTACCAAAAAAATTTTAGCTAGTTCTTACATGTTCTTCAGTTAATTCTCATTATTTTACTGATCTGTCACTTTCTTTTTCTTGATTAAGGAAGAATATATTGATTTCTTTATTGTTAGTTGATCCAAATCCACCAGTTCCATGAGTAGATTCTCCAAGTTCTTGTCAAGTAAAAACAGATTTCATTCTTTCAATTGGTGCAAGTTGCAAAAATACTGCTTGAGTGATTCATTCTTGTGATTGGATGATATATGAAACTTGAGAGTTATTGTACAATAATACTCCAATATTTCCAGTGTAACCAGAGTTAATAGTTCCAGCTTTCATTTTAATTCCTTTCTTTGCCAAAGAGGAGTGAGACATAAGTTGGTATACAGTTCCAGGAGATATTTCGAGTGTGATAAATAAATTAATATAGGTGATCTGTTGAGATTATATTTCAATTGGTTCTTCTTTAGTGTATTTTATATCGAATTCAGCATTATTTTCATGAGCTTTTTGAGGTATAGCATCTTTATTATCATCATTATAAATCTTGATAGCCAGATTTGCTTCTTTTTGAATCAGTAACTCAGTGGAATTAATAGTATAATAATGTTCAAGTATCTCATCAAGTTTATCAATTATTTGGTTTTCTATTTTGATTTTAACTTTTGAAGCCAATTATTATAAGGAAGTAATCATGCTCTCAGCTTGAGTTAATATTTCTTCAAGTTCAGAATCCAGTTTTGAATACATTGATGTTTTATTCTTGTCAATGAACATGATGATTTTTGTAATTTCAGGTTCTCAGCAGTCTTCACATTGGTTATTATCACAAGGAATCAGACATTTAGTGCATAGTTTGATATTGATATATTCCAGTTTAGCGAGTTGTATATATCATTTTGGAGAAATTTGTTGATAAATTTTGTTAGAATATTTCATTGGATAAAACTTCTTCAGGACCAGTG